TGGTGTACACGAACCGACGGAAATCGGCGATGCGTGACCTCAGTCCCCGGGCACTCCATTGAATAATCGCTGCTTTTCGGAGCTCTTCTTTGAAAGACAGTGGCTGGTGAGCCAGTATTTACTCAAGCGCTGCGAATACTGGACTTAATGCGTCCAGTAATTGCAATGCACTTCTTGCTGATGGAGTGTGCAAGTTGCTTAACAACAAGCGGATGGCGTTGATTAATGGTCGCAAAAGAGCTATCACTTGCTGATCTGTGTTCCGCAAGCCCTCCATTACAGTAGCTTGCCCTGAAGAAGACGGCTTCTGCTGCGGCTCTTCTGAGCGTTGTGTACGCGTAAGTGGAGGCCACTCTTCTGTAGAGACTGGTCTGCCCCTTTGCTATTTTACAACGTCTGTGTTTGCCATGCTGTAAACTGCAGGTGGCGATCTTTCCTGATGCGTTGACTTATCGCCTGAAGGTGGCGCTCTCCGACGTGAAGACCTTCGACGGCGACGTCGTCTTCGCCGGATTTTCTCGGCAGCTTCTTTGTTGGTTGAGCTGTCCCATACCATTTGCCTCAGAATAGAAAATTCTTTCTTTATGTGCGGACATTCTTTCGAAGAAGCCTTGTGAGCACCCTGACAGTTAGGACACTTCAGTGTGGTAGCGCTACAGTTGTCTTCCGCGTGTGGTTCGGCGCACCGGGGGCACGCTGCGGAGCTCCTGCAAACACCATTTACATGGTCGATCTTCTGACATTTGAAGCATTGCACGGGTTTAGGAATAAACGGTTGAACTTGTTGGCGAAAGTGGCCAACCTTCACGTATGCGGGAAGACAGTCCCCTTTGAACGTTACTCTCACACAGCGTGTGTTTCCAAGCCGTCCAACGCTGACAATGACGTTGTCTTGACTCGCTGGTTTTATAAGTATTGGAAGGTCTGCGTTTGGATTTTCCGTTTAAATGTCGTAAATGACTCCTGATGTGGTCGCACCATCATCTGGTATGATGGACCTAACTGCAATGTTTCCCAGTTTTGTTACTTGTTGCAGCGTGCTCAGCGCACTCGGGTGCCGCACATCGACAGCCAGGATGTATCTTCTTGTATTAAGCCGTAGGTCTTTAATCTCCTTCAGCACAGTATTCTCGAAATAGAGCGAAAGCGCTTGCCTGTTCAGAACACGCAGACTTTTGGTAGCGTTCTTTGGCACAAACAGGATGGAATGGTGCCATCGCTGGGGCGCCGTTTTCACTGTGGCTGTACTTGACACCAGCGATGGATTGATGATCCGTCGCTTGGCCTTGCGGTGCAGGACAGGTTGAAAGCCGTCGTCTGAGGACTCGTCGCAAGATGCGGAGTACAGCTCAGTGTCATCGCTCTCACTGGATGTGTTTCCTCACTTCCTCGAGGTAGTGGCCGAGGTCGAACCGGAGTCAGACGTTGCCTCGTGAGGTTGTACATTCATTACCGCAACCTACGGGGCAATACACCCCACAACTGCAGCGAAAAGTCCACAAAATCACTGAGACGAGCGAGATGTGTTCTACAAAGAATCACTTCGTCTTCCTTCCCTTCTGCCATGTAAATACGCAATGAAGCTATCAGGCAAGCACGGTGACCTTGCAAACACAACCTGAGGTTTTGTTATTAGCCCCTTTATTGTTACTTATTTCATGATTATTCACTTTGATTGGGCTCTACTTTGTTTTTTTTTCATTTTTATTGGTGACTACATTTAGTGTGCTCTCTCCTCTTGTCTATTCTAAACCTTCAAGCCACCTCTCCTCACCCTCTCTTACCTTTCTCAATCCATTTGTATAGGTGTGATGTACTGTGAATGGTGTTGTGAAATTCTAAAAGCTGACTGTCAAGTACATTTTTGTGCTGTAAGGCCACCCGGGTTTCTGCGTTCAACGCCAAAACTACCCCAATTAAGATAAACAGCCTTACTGTAAAAAAAAATAGATCACATCAGACGAACAAATGTGTTATTGAAAATACGTCACAGTTGTGACTCACCATTTGTGTAGCAAGAAACATATTAGATAAGCTGGCAAGATAAGTGAAGTAAGATAAGGCTTCGGACGCAGATATAAATGTCGTTCTATAAAGACGAAGTTTCTTATGAACGAGGCTTGTACGTCGACGTCCTTGTTCATCAGCGACAGACGCGTGCTCTAGAGACACGCACGCAAAAAAGTTTAATAATAGATCAATATCAAACCCGATTGTGGGAGAATAATAAAAAAACTAGATGCGTAAACTCTACATAATAGCCTTCGGCATCAACGTACACATTGTGAACATTAACACCTAGATTCATTTCTTGTATACGTTCACTATCCACTCTTAAGGTGTACACAAAACAGTTGCTATAGACGAAGCGTATGGACTGTGTGAATAGAAAAAAAAGTTGCATGCTATGAGCATAGCACGTGGTCATGCTCTAATGGCACGCATATCATGATTATTATGTTTGGATTTGTCACTTAGATTTCTCGTTCGTCTGCGTCACATACTAGCAAACTTGGCATATTAAAGCTATCGGAATGGCCACAAGCGTATCTTGAGCATGACATGTAGTAATCTTCTTACATGGCAGGCACGTCATGATTAGCATGTTTGGGTGTGTCAATTACCTTCGTCGTCTATTCACGCCACGTAGGCACTAAATTTGGTATATGTAAACTTAGTGAAACGGCCACGAGCGCGCTATAAGTGTAGCATTTAGTCATGTTTTACATGACCCGCATATCATGATTCTCATGTTTGCACGTGTTTTTACCTTCGTCCTTCATTCATGTCACATAATACCAAACTTGCTATATGCGAAGCTAGTGAAACGGCCACGAGCGCACTATGAGCGCACCATGCAGTCATGTTTTACAATACACGCATGTAATGATTAGCACGTTTGGACGTGTCCATTACCTTCATAGTCCATTCACGTTAGGTAATACCAAATTTGGTATAGGAGAAGCTAGCGTTTCGGCACGAGCGTGGTATGTTGTCATGTTCTTACATGATACGCGTGTCAGGATTGTCATGTTTGCACTAGTATTTTACCTTCCCCATCGATTCACGTCCCGTAATACCAAGCTTGGCATATGTGAACAAAGCGAAATAGTCACGAGCACATCATATGCGTAGCTTGTAGTCATGTTTTACATCACAGGCATGTCATGATTATCATGTATCGACGTGTCATTTACCTTGATCGTCCATTTGCATCACGCAATTCAAAGTTTGGTATGTGTGAAGCTAGCGAAATGAGCGCGAGCGCACCACGAGCGTATTGCGTGTACTCATGACATACATGACATGCATTTCATGATTTCCACGTTAGAGCCTGTCACTCATGTTTGCCATGCAGTCTTGTCATATCGTACCAGTTTTGAAATATGTCATATGAACAAAACCACCGCAAGAGTAGCAAGACCATCACATAAAAATCAGGACATTCATGACATACGTGTCATGATTTTTACGTAATGCCTCGTCACTTATGCCCGTCATACAGCAATGTTACGCCATCCCAATTGTGGTATTGATCGCCTCAACGAAACTGCCAGGAAATCTGAAAGGCCTAAGCCGCTAGATAGATAGATAGACAGATAGATAGATAGAGAGATAGATAGATAGATAGATAGATAGATAGATAGACCGACAGACAAACAGACAGACAGACAGACAGACAGATAGATAGATAGATAGATAGATAGATAGATAGATGGATAGATGGATGGATAGATAGATAGATAGATAGATAGATAGACAGATAGATAGATAGATAGATAGATAGATAGATAGATAGATAGATAGACAGATAGATAGATAGATAGATAGATAGATAGATAGATAGATAGATAGATAGATAGATAGATAGATAGATAGATACTCCTCAAGCCGCTGAAGTGTGCTAAGCAGTTCTTCACATTTTAAAAGGCTTAATCTGATAGGAGGCCTCGCTCGGTATGCCCAGAAAAACACAAATAAGAAGCGTTTGTTCAGTGTGAGACATGCCTTCTTGACCGCATTTCTCTGTCTTATGGCACCGTTTATATCGGCTAGACCAGCTGCTGCCTAAGTGTCCGACTCAGTGAGTATTGTTGCCAAGTAGGAAATATGGCCACCTGATGGTTTTATGGCGCAAGACTCCCGGAGTTGTGCATGGAAACAAAATTTTTGTTGAATTGTGGTCTTGAGGAGAAATTAGTCCGAAATCACTAGGAAAATAATCGAAGCAGAGCAGATTGACCGTATCGAGGACACATGCGCTAGCACACCACTGCTGTATTTGAGTACGGAAGTACTACGCTTCTGCGCATGGAGTGGTAAATGCCTGTCTTGGAGTTGCTTATGCACCTTTCTTATCGATCTCGTCGACGCAAGAGTCGCCTTGGTGTAAATGAAGATATTGTTTTTTCAAACGTGTTCACGTGACCGTTGTGCTTGATGCTGGCGTATCAGTGGGAAATAAGCTATTGTAGTTAGAAGTGCTACTCTGTGTACGTCTTTTCCTTTCAACTATGCTCTTTTGCACGCTAAAATAGTAGAATTTTATGAGCATATCATGCATTTTTCATCAAATTCATTTGGCCTTTTATTAGGCTTACACATATACACAGACATTTATATGGCCATGAAACCGAAATATAAGTTATTTAAGAGATTTTTCATTAACATTTAAGAGAGTTGTGTTTGGTGTTCTCCAGGAACTACGAAACAACAAAACATTTGGAAGCGATCTACTAAATGTTTAGTCTGGGACGTTTGGACCGCAGTAGACGTGGCATTCAAACAAACGGAAAAATTTACGGTAAGTTATGTCGTATTGTGAGATCGCGTCATTGAACGATTTAGTTGTTATCAGGTGTATGCTAGAAATGACAGTGTCTCCGCTTCCTATCAAAGAGGCACTTCACCCAAAGTATCAGTTAAGACGAATGAATTCATTAGCCATGTATATACGGGATACACATCACAACAAACTCCAATGCCTTTTCTTCTCCCAGATGATTTTTACCTATGCCCAAACGGCTGGAAAAGTCAACCAAAAGGTCACTTGCGCCATTGATAACATCGAGCTACATGACTGCGTGGGAACAACGAGTAAGTTCTAAAAATGAATTGCGAAAAAATACGTATTCTTTCAATGTAATTAAGAAAAGGTGTCTCTTTTCTAATTGCACTATTGAATATGTATTTATCGCTTACGTATCCCTGTATCAAAATGTTGTAGGCACCGTAGATTGAATAGCTGTTGTAGAACGTCCGAAAGCACTTGTTATTACATGTCGCCTTTCTTTACGCGTCCTGTAGTTATGACAAACAAGTATAATCGAAGATCTCGATAACAGCGATTTCGAACTGCAAGCAAATTTTGTGTAGTACTCTGACTCGAATTCTTCCATGGTCTGTGGGCGAGTGTAAGTTTCTTTAGGATGTCTATGAGTGACACCAAGGAGCAGCTATATATTTATCTTACGTATCCGGAAGATACTGACAAGGAAAACGATGGACCGAGAGAAACCTTCATTGCAAAATAATATACAAGGTCTTCTTTAGCTCGTTAGGGCAACAACTATCGGTGAAGCGCATGTACGTTCCCTGTAAGATTTCCGGCTTTCGCTAGCACACAAAAAACATATTGTCTTAGGCCTCTAGTACCATATGTACACAATTGTAAGTGGACTAAAATTTGGGCGGACCTCCCAAATTTGCACGGCATTCAAGAATAAAAAAACAAAGAAAACACTAGAGTACATTTTGTAAAGGAAGTTCGTTTACGTAGTCGTTTTTCTGATTAAACGGGCTCGTTCATCACCATCAAGCAACACATTTTTGTGAAGTCTGATCCTCAAGCCCGGACAGCCTCGAAGTGTGTCCTCCGCTTTGGCACTTATGATGCGAAGAAATGCCTTTTATTGCGTGTAAGATTCTCGTACTACCGCAGGAAACTGATTGACGAGCTAAGCTGGCTTCACTGTAAAGCTACACAACTACGCTGAAAAAAATCTAGCTTCATTCAATACGCGATCACTGAAGAAAATGTGGGAAAAGTTGCTCAGTGTGCTGGTTATACGCGGGAAAATATGGAATTGATACCTTGCCCGTGACGTCTTTTTCACGGCTCTCTAACGTACCGATTCACAAATATGGCGGCCTTGATGACGTAGAGGCCGCATAATAAATTTGCACTAAAACGTTTTGAGTACGATAACAATGCGGGTAGAATTTATTAGTATCTGTCTATTAGTAACGAAAGAATTTGCTAGGGATAAAATGAAATCTTGAGAGATTGATATTATGAAGCATGCGTGAGCTTCATTGTTCCCAAGCACGGTTATTTTTAAGAACAACAGTGCGGGCGATCTAGAAACTACAGCCAAAGCCCGATCACAAATGTAATGTTGTAATCGTGTTACAAGGTTTCGGAGTTTTCGTTTGTAGCGTCGAAACTAGTGACCATAGATTTGGTTTGATTTTATGACAGCCCCCTCCCCCCCCCTAAATTCAGTTTTAAGTTTATATAAAACGTTTAAATCTGAAATTGTATAGGCCGTTGTCCTAATCAGAGATTAATAAGAATAAGGGTCACAATCAGAAGTTCTCTATATACTCATTTTTTGCATTGTGGAGAGTATAAATGCAGATTTAAGTTTGATGAATGTACAGTGTAGTACAGGCAATAAGATAAAGATGCATGCCTGGTTGTAAAGCCATACCATACATCGTAATGGCAGCACAAGCCGAAGCCAGTAGTTCATAATCCCACACGTGTCGGATCGACAGGTAGTTCTTCATAACTCTACATGCGTGGATAAAGTGTTACCGCCGCAATGAGCTTTTTTCTGTAAATGAGCTTTTCCGTTTTCTGACCTGGGTCTTCCTTTCGGGTCCATGAATACACGTCACCTCCTTTCGTTACGAGATTACGTGCACTATCGTTACTAAGCGTGAGAGAGAGAGAACACAACTTTATTGTCGTCAGACTTAAGGAGGTAGGTGACCCGCCAGGCTGAACCTGATGGCCACCTCCTCTGCCCTTTGTACGGCCTGGAGCTGAACGGCCAGGCTGGTGGAGGTCAGAACTGCCTCCCACCCCTCTGGCGAGGGAGCGGCTAGGAGATCGAGAGAGGGGGGATCTTCCCTGCAGGCCCAGAGAATGTGATTAAGTGTGGCTATTGAGCCACAATGCGAGCAATGCGGATCAATCGAGTCGGGGTATATACGTGCATAAATGTATGGGCACGGAAATGAATGTGTTTGCAAGCGGCGCCAGATAACCTCCTGGCGCTTAGTTAGCTTATGGTGCGGGGGTGGTTTTGTCTGCCTCGAAAGACGGTAATATTGTGTGATGTCATGGTAGGATGTCAAGGCTTCACCAGGGTTTTCCAAATCAGAGGCGGGTACCACCGCTCGGCTGACGAATCCTCGAGCATATAGGTGGGCCGCCTCGTTCCCTGGGTTCCCCGCGTGAGCCGGCACCCATACCAGCGCAATGGAGGATAGTGCGTCTTCCTCAGCATCTGTAAGGAGACTGGGCAATAGTAAACGCAGAGTTGTGGGGGCCACAATGCCACGTGCGAAGTTGGATATAGCAGCCTTTGAGTCACTGAGTATAGTGGTGAATCCGGATGCTGCTGCTAGCGCTATCGCCGCTTCCTCAGCTTCTGTCGTATTAAGCACACGGACAGAAGCAGCCGCTTTAATTTGAGGTGAATTGGCGTTGTTGCCGGGGAGAGTGATTACGCTTATTGCATATGCTTTAGGAAACTCTCGGTATTGGGCGGCGTCAACGTACGCAACGGTTGGGTTGGACGCGTACGTTTTTTGCAAGAATTTGGCCCTCGCTTTCCTTCTACCGTCGTGATGGCTGGCCAACATGTTCTTTGGCAGTGGTTTTATGAGGAATTTCTTTCTGATGTTGGGGGGGATGACAGCCGGATCGTTACCCGTAGGAGATACCACATGGTCAATGTTAGCAAGGATCCAACGCCCCGTCCTGCTTCCCTGTAATCGGTGAATTTGCGCCGTAAGATGCGCTTCAAGAAGTTCTTCTAAGGTGTTATGCAGCCCAAGACTGAGGAGGTGCTCTGTCGATGTGTTTCGGGGGAGACCCAATGCCACCTTATACGCTTTGCGTAAGAGCCGATTTAGTTGGGCTCGCTCAGATTGAAGGAGGTGCAAATAAGGGAGGGCGTACGTGAAGCGCGACAAAACGAAGGCTTGAATTATCTGTAGCAGTTCTTTCTCCTTCATGCCTCGATTGCGAGCGCTCACTCGAGATATAAGATGGGCCGTCTGGTTCACGGTTACGGTGAGACGGTCTAGCGTAATGTTGTTGTGGTGGTTTGTTTGCACAATGAGTCCGAGTACTCTCATGTGGGCCACCTGCTTAATTGGCGTGTCATTGACATACACGTTAATACTAGGAAGTGGAGTCTTAATTTTGCGGCGATCTGGAGGTCGCAGTAATAGTAGCTCCGATTTGCTCTGGGAACACTCCAAACCCGCTTCTGACACGTGCTGAACGACTACGTCGGTTGCTCTTTGAAGAGTCTCCTCGATTTGACCATCGGATCCCACCGTCGTCCAGAGCGTGATGTCATCTGCGTAGAGGGTGTATCGCAGGCCGGGTATCTAAGCGTGAGAATCTTGGTCTTAGTGCACATCCTTCAGAACAGCCTATGAAATTATGCTGTGTGGGGATGCAAACAACCCCTGTGAGGTCGTTTTGCCTCTTAGCGTGAACATGTCGCGGATAGGTCACATTTATGGTTAATAACCCACGAGCGTTGTGCTCGTGTGCCAGTTCGTCATCATTATGGTCAGCCTGGTAGCGCCAGAAGTAACGTTGGCTGCGAGGCTAGATGGCGCACATGAAACATGGGCGGCTCATTTTGGCGCATTACGGATGGCGCGAGCAGTCGTCTCCCGAGGGCCCCTCGTGGTGAGTTCAGAGCTGGGGACACCGCCTTCGCATTACCTTGTGTGCGTTCTTATGCTTGATTGAGCGTATTGCAATATTTGATAAAGTTGTTTCAGCGTGCCTCTAGTGACGTATAAGATTCGGCTGGTGATATGTCGATGTAAAAGTAGTACAATGAATGTTTTATTCGTTTTGCTTCGACTGCGTCTACTGTCTCCGTGTGTTCCAAGAGAAGCGATCCCGTTTCTACACCCCCCTTCGTCACATGTTGGCCGCCAAACAGTCACCACAATTGCTAAAGAGCCTAACTGAGCTCGGCGTACTGGGTGCCGTGTAGCTGCAATAATCAAGCATCGTCGAAAGGTTTTTGGGATACTTACTGGGACGAGTTGGTAGCTGTTCATTGTTACGTTATTGCGCATTGTTGCGTTAATCTTTCTGGGGAAGTTGGTTTCTTGTAGAGCCAGAAGTAACAGCGCGACCACACACCCACAAGAGAGACGACACGGACACCCTGTGCGTCTGTGTCTGTGCGCACTGTTAATCCTATGCTCTAAATTGAAACATCACTGTCATTATTACAAAAACTTGCTCAAGGGTTCATGAAATCTAACAGATGTGAATACTGCAGTGACATGCAGGGGCTCATATTTTGTGTTTTGTGTAACTTTCTTTCTCCTTCTTTTATTACTTTCCTTCCCCTCTCCGCTTCCCCAGTGCAGGGCAGCCTACCGGGGCTCGGCCCTGGTTAACCTCCCCACCGTTCTCCTTATTTTCTCTTTCTCTTGCGGTACTGGCCTATAGACTGCATTGAACTACACGCTCAAAAATTTTAGCATCGACTTACTTTGACCATGGTCATAACCTTCGGCGCGTGAAGCTAAATAAGACGCGGCATGAAAGGTTATGCTAACAATGGAGCCCTAGATGATTTTTATGGAGTTTTCATGAATTTTTACGGGATATATTCTTTTTTAGAACCTCTATGTTTTCTTGTCTTCTGCAGCTCCAAAAGAAAGAAAATGTGACTTCGAAGATGGCTGGTGCACGTGGAAGAACAACAACACGTCTAACAACCATCTGGCCTGGATGTTAGGAGGTGAATACTTCAAGACGACGCTCCTCAGGCCAAACCACGATCACACTTATGGCAATGGAACAGGTAATATGCATTGCTAACTGTTTTCAGAGAGAGGGGGAGAGTACATCAGATGGTCTTATCAATGTCCTCGGTGCGTAACTAAGGTTGTCTGTATTGTGGTGGGGCAAAAGTTTTAGTGAGCTCTCCGTAACCGAGTATTTCAAGAGTGGTAACGTTTTGGTTTTACCAGAAAAAAAGGTGGCAAACATAGCAAATAATATTGTCACGACGTCAAAACAGAGGTCTTGCCGCAGAGATTTAGACACCAGAAGCAGGTCGTTTTTTTTAATAAAACACGCAACAGAGTTCTTCTTCTTCATCCATTTCCTTGTACTTCATGGCACATGCACAACTACCATTGTCTTTCTTCTTGAAAAGCACGTGACATTTGCCCCCCCCCCCTCCAAAAAAAGCCTCGTCCCGATGCGCAACTTAGGTGCTCCACCGGGCGTATGAAGTGGTCGCGTCCACTGGATAAATACGGTTTCATACGCACGACGTGTACGACTTCGGGTAATGCTTTTGGCGCTTAGAACTACAGTCAGTGTGGGGAACAACTTCATAGTTCACGTCGTTCAAGCGTCGCGTGACGCTGTATAGGCCAAAGTACCGTCTTAGCAGTTTTTCCGACAGTTCACGTCGACGTATCGGAATCCAGACCCAGACCTTGTCGCCTGGTGTGTAGCTTATGAACTTGTGTTGGGGGTCATACCATTGTGCATCTTGATGCGGTTGATGACAGATGCGCACACGCGCGAGCTGTCTGTCTTCCTCGGCGCACTGAGTGAACTCTTCGGCGTCTACATGGATGTCGTCAAACTGATGCGGCAACATGGCGTCCAACGTTGTCGTGACTTCGCGACCATAGATCAGCCTGAACGGTGTCATTCCAGAGGTTTCTTGTCGAGCGGTATTATAGGCAAAGGTCACGTACGGCAATATCTTATCCCAGTTTTTATGTTCCGTGTTAACGTACATGCTGATCATGTCTGTGAGAGTCCTATTGAGGCTCTCCGTCAGTCCGTTTGTTTGCGGATGGTATGCAGTTGTTTTCCGGTAAGCTATACCGCTGAGTCTGAGAACCGACTCCAAAATCTCTGCGGTGAAGGCAGGGCCTCTGTCTGTGATCACTGTTGTCGGAGCGCCACGCCGAAGAACGATGTTTTCGATGAAGAACTGAGCGGCTTCTGCTGCTGTGCCGCGCTGCATAGCTTTAGTCTCCGCATAACGGGACAGGTAATCAGTGACCACAATAATCTATCTGTTTCCAGTTGTGAAAGTTGGAAAGGGACCCAGAAAATACATTTCAATCTGGGTTAATGGCTTTTCTGGTGCTTCGACTGGATGTAAAAGACCGGCTGGATTGATGGGAGGCGCTTTGCGTCTTTGGCAGTCGGTGCAAGTTCGCACGTGAAGGTTAACAGCAGCAGGTAATTTTGGCCAGTGGTATTTGCATCGTAGTCGGCACAATGTTCGGGTGTAGCCTAGACGACCAGAAGTTGCTTCATCATGGCACGCTTCCATAATTTCTTTTCGAAGAGAGGCAGGCACGACGAGCAAGTGCGGGTTACCGGTTGGTGAGAAGTTCTTTTATAGAGAACATCGTTTCGCAAGCAAAAATATGGCAGTCCTCTGGCAAAGAACCGCGGCACATCCTTACGTCGTTCTTCTAAATATTCAATGAGTGGTAACAGCTCGGGGTCACTGTGCTGCTCCTGTGCAATAGTGGCCGTGTTGACAACTTCCAAGAATACCGCGTCGATGTTTTCGTCATCACGAGCGACAGTCTCCACTGGCGACTGTGAGAGACAGTCGGCGTCAGTGTGCTGCTTCCCAGATTTATAGACGATGGTCATGTCGAACTCTTGAAGCCCTTGGCTCCAGCGCGCCAAATGGCCAGATGGAGCTTTAAGGTTGGCGAGCCAGCACAAAGAGGGATGGTCGCTAACAACCTTGAAAGAGCGGCCGTACAAATATGGACGAAATTTGATGACCGCCCACCCCACGGCGAGACACTCCTTCTCGGTGGTCGAGTAGTTCTCCTCCGTGCGAGAGAGAGTTCTGCTGGCGTAGCCTATTACTCTTTCACAGCCGTCTTGCCACTGCACCAGAACGGCACCCAGACCTACATTGCTGGCGTCAGTGTGAAGTGCTGTAGGGGCTTCCTGGTCAAAGTGTGCGAGAACTGGAGGTGTGTGCAGGCGTTGTCGTAGTTCATTGAATGACAATTGCTGTTGTTAACCTCAAAAGAAGGGGACGTCCTCACGTGTGAGTCGTGTCAGTGGCGCTGCAATAGACGAAAAGGCCTCGATAAATTGCCGGTAATAGGCGCACAACCCTAAGAAGCGTCTTACGGCCTTTTTGTCGCGTGGTGCAGGAAATTGCGCTACGGCGTTTATTTTGGCCGGGTCAGGTCGAACACCCTCGTGACTGACGACGTGGCCTAGGAAGCTGAGTTCGTTAAAACCAAAATGGCATTTTTCCGGTTTTAAAGTAAGGCCGGCCGAACGTAGGCTTGGAGGACGGTGAATAAACGGCTGAGATGTTCCTCGAATGTTGCTGAGAATACAATAACATCGTCCATATAGACGAAGCATGTTTGCCACTTCAGCCCTGATAGTACGGTGTCCTTGAGACGCTGAAAAGAGGCTGCTGCCGAGCACAACCCAAAAGGAAGCACCTTAAATTCGTATAGACCATCGGGCGTCACGAAGGCCGTTTTTTCATGATCTCTCTCGTCGACTTCTATCTGCCAGTAGCCGCTTCGTAGGTCTATTGAAGAGAAATAGCGCGCATGATGTAGCCGTTCGAGTGAATCGTCTGTGCGGGGCAGTGGATAGACGTCTTTCTTTGTGACTTGGTTCAACTTGCGATAATCAATACATAAACGCAAGCTGCCGTCTTTTTTCTTGACCAAAACCACGGGGGACGCCCAAGGACTTTTCGAAGGTTGTATGACGTCATCCGCGAGCATCTTGTGTACTTGATTCTGAATCTCCTCGCGCTCTTTCGGAGCCACACGGTAGGGGTTCTGCCGAATTATTCGCGTGTTGTCTTCAGTAATAATGTGGTGCTTAGTCAATTGTGTTTGTTGGACCTTTGACGTACGCGCAAAGCAGTCTTCGAATTGGTGTATAAGTTCAAGCAGGCGCTTCCTATCAGAGGGCGGTAGCGTAGAGCAGATGTCCACCGGCAAAGTTGTCGAGGCGAGGACAGCCGCGTCATCTGGTTGCAAGAAAAAACAATCTCCGGCTTGGTCTACATCGTCGTAGTAGGCAAATGCGGTACCCTTCTGGATTTGACGGCGCTCGTTGCTGAAGTTCGTGAGGAGCACTTCTGCCTGTCCATTAGTAAGCGCCAGGACGCCCCTCGCGATGGAAATGCCTTGCATGAACAAAAGAGCGACTATGTGCTGCGCTATCACATCTTTATAGCAAGGACACCCACTGGACACTGACACAAGGCAGCAGGATCTCGGTGGGAGAGTCACATCGTCGGCTATTCGCAAACGGCCGCGTGGTTCTTCGCTGCTGTTGTCGGCCTACGAATGTGCGCAAAACGTCACCATACGTTGAGGGATGTTGATAGCAGCGCCATGATCTTGAAAAAAATTCATGCCCAAAATTAACTCTTTACAGCAGTCTGGCAACAGAACGAAAGTGGCCACGAAGCTAGAATCCCCGATGCGAAGTCTAGTGGTGCATTTACCCGTGGGACTCATCAGCTGACCACCAGCACTCCTTATGTGCGGCCCTGTCCATGGTGTCTGGACCTTTTTAAGGCGGTCGGTGAGCTTTTGTCGCATGATTGAGAAGTCGGCGCCAGTGTCGACCAGTGCTGTAACGTGATGTCCGTCAATGACACGCTCAGATCGACACGTACTTCATCGGCATTAGTATTCGTCGTCGTATTCGTCGTCGTAGTCGTCATACGTTCTTGTGATGATTGGGGGAACTTTTAGGGGAGGTTGCTTGGGCAGGCGATAGTTGATCAGCCTCGAGGGCACGATGGTCTTCGGAGCGGGAAGATGCGGGACGAGAAAAGTTCCTGAGCCCGGAATCGCCATGACGGCAATAGCGGGCAATGTGACCGGGTTCTCCGCAGCGGAAGCAAATAGGTCGACGGTCGGCCATGCGCCATAAGTCAGTTCGGCGAACTGATGGTCGTCTCGTAGTACCCCGTTGCCACCAAGGTACGGCAGTGGGTCGTGGCCGGAGGGGCGGAGCCACAAATGTCGGTGGAGGGCGACAGATCACATCAGCGTAGCTCACTGGATGTGGCTCAGGACTTGGCGTGGGTGGTGTAATGGCTTGCCTCAACTCCTGGCGGGCAATTTCGGCAACAGATGCGACTGCTGGTTGGGCAAGGGGAACAGAGAGGGCCCGAAGGTCCTCACGCAGTATTTCTGTAATTATTTGTCGCTGGGAACTTTCGCATACGGCAGTGTTCTGAGCTGCAGCACTTACTGCCGTGTGGTTCTGCAGGTGGTCAAAGTGTTGGCGTCGTTGTTGTAGTGCGTGCTCGATGACAGTCGCCTCTCTTATGAATTCATCAACTGTGGTAGGTGGATTTCGTACGAGGCCCGCAAACACTTGTTCTTTAACACCCTGCTTAAGGTGACGCACCTTCTGCGCCTCGGGCATGTCAGGGTCAGCTCGTCGGAACAGACGAATCATACTCTCTGCGTACATGGCGGATGTTTCATTGGGTTTTTGCACGCGGGCCTCAATCACTTGCTGTGCGCGATCCCGTCGGTCCGAGTTCAAAAATGTAGCGAGGAGCTTTCGACGGAAGTCTTCCCAAGATTGGAATGTAGCCTCGCAGTTCTCATACCACGTGCGAGCGCTATCTTCTAGTGCGAATTATGCACGGTCAAGTTTGTGCTGTTCGCTCCAGTGGTTGGATACTGCGACCCGTTCGAACTGTTCAAGCCAGTACTCGACATCCTCGTACTCTTCCCCACGGAAAACTTCAGGAACGCGAGGATGTTCAAGAGTCACCTGCGAGGAAAGAGTGGTCTG